GGGAACCAGGAAGAGATTAACCAAAGAATTTACATGTATTACCAATGGACACAGACAATAGGGTGGTGAAGGCCTGGGGTGGGGTGGGAACTAGGTGGAGGGAGGCAATGGGGAAAATAGGAGGAACATCTGTAATATTCTCAACAATAAAGGTTTTAAAAAAAAGATCTTAGCTCAGCTCTTCTGTCTCCTACTTTATGAACTTTTACACTATTTCAAAACACCCCTATGAATATTACCCTTCTCCCCCCCCCAACATCAGTGTCTAGACTGGTTTTGGGCATTGCTTACAGCTTGAGTTTGTACCAGGCAAGACTGGGAAAATGAGGTAGGGAGACGGGAGAGTGTTTGCTCTAGAGCTGAGGAGCCCTATTCTTTGGCCTGCCCAGACAGGTCAGATATTTGGTCAAAGACTATTCTGGGACTCGACATTACTGTGTCCTACACGATGATTCTGGAACCACTTCTGTGAGTTGGCCTACATTGGAAAATTTATGTGGGATGTGGGTGGGGTCCTGGGGTATTTTTCTCCTAACACTCAAGACTTTGAGGTGCATCCAACAAGATCTGCCAACCCACTGAGATGGAGAACATTCATATGAAGACTAAAATTTGGCTAAGATTGAAACTGCCTTTATTGAGCTGTTTCTTTAGCGCCTTTAAAACAGAATTTTCAAGCTCATTTCAGGACTTGTGTCTTTTATAAGAAATGAAAATTTCAATTACTGCACAAACTTTTATGTATAGGACTTCTTAGTGAGGCAAATGAACTTTTAAAATAAAATGAAATTATTTTATTTATGAGATACTGTATTTTGAAGAACTAAAACAGGAATCCTTTTACAGAACTGTGCAATGTTGTCAGCTGTTAATGCTCATATTTATAAATAGGTCATCTCTGTTTGAAAAGCATACAAGGTTTTCTAACTCCAAATCTTCCCAGCCACAGTATTGCTACATTAAACAGAACTGTCAAAGATAAAACAGAATCAAAATGATTGTCTAGACTGAATGTTAACCCTTTCCTGTAACATTGGTTAATAATATCTCTTTACCTCTTCATACTTACTTGTTTTAAATTGTTATTAAAAAACTATTATAATACTCTCCTAGGTAGTGAAGAGGTTAAACCATTGATGATACTTTCTAAATACCCCATGAGGCCTATAACTATATACCTGATTACCTCATGGAAAATTATTTCTGTGCCTGTGAATGGCAGACTCAGTGAACAGACTGTGTTTGGGTTGGGGGTGACATGCATTAGAAATATTTATCTAAAGTAATTGATTATTATAATTGACTGTTAGGTAACTTTTATTTATCTGAAATGCTGAACAAAAATATTCTTTTGAATTTTTAATTTTTTACAAACAATATTATGTTTATCATTTTATTTTTCTCCTCTTAAATTTTAACATTATTTTTATGACCATATTCATTTAGATATTTTTCTAGTATGAGTTACATTAACTGCACAATATCTGATCTTTATTCTGTGGAATGACTTCTTTCCTCTGGTCAATTCCTATAAGTTATAACATTGCTTAGTTAATGGAACACTCTGTTGTTTTCAGGCATTTAGCTTATCAGTCCAGTGATCAGTTTCTAATATTCTAACCATCAATTTTTAGTAGCACCATTATCCAAGTGTATCTGACCAGATTTAGAATTGGGTCTCTCCTGATAACCTTCAGCCTTTGATCTCCTCCCCAAATGTGAAGACTGGCATGTTCCTTGGAATCAGAGTGTTCACTAAAAAAAAAAAATTAAAAAAATACTGTAATAAACCATAAGCATGGATTCTTATTTTCAAATAGCAAAGCGAGCTTATAAATCGGATGATCACATGTCCCAGTTTACCCAGAACAATCCTGGATTATACCTGTTACTCTGGCATAATTATAAATAGCTCTTCCTTTACTCTCAAAAATGTCCTGTTTGGATAATAAATTATCTAGTCACATACTTATATACTATAATCATTTTGTTATAGTAGATTTTGGTTGTTGAAATGTTATTTGAAATAAGACCATAAGATATATATATGTATATATATATATATATATATATGTATATGTATATATATATGTATATGTATATATATGTGTGTGTGTATATATACACATACACACATATATGTATATATAATATATAATTATATATCATAGGTCATTTTATTGTATTAGGAGAGTTCTCAGTGTTTAAATGTAGTATATTGAATAAGAAAGCATATGCTTTGAAGTTAGGAATCATTTATTTGTCTTCTGACTGTTGGCAGGTCATAAAACTTTTCTGAACTTTTTATTTCTGTTAAACGGAAATAATAGCAATACCTAACCAATAGAATTATTTAAAGATTTAAAGGTGATAACACATACAAAAATGTTTTATAGCTGCAAATTCCTATGTAATTGTGAGTCATTTTTATGCCACACATGTGCTCCTGAAAATTGGATTTAAAATGAATAATTTTATCTAATTAAGGGGAACTTGCTATCAGAGCATAGACAGTCTTTTAGAAGTGTTTTACTGTAATGGGGAGCAGGGATAAGAGTAGCTGGAGATATATGTGGAGTTAAGAGGGGCTGAATTTCAACATATTTGTATGCTGAAAAGAGTGATCCAATAGAAAACAAAAAAATAGATGATGCTGGACAGAGGGACAAGATCATTTCCTTGAGTATGCAAGAAGGCATATGATCTAGAATACAAATGGAAAAGATTGGCCTTACATAATCTAAGGAGCACAAATATGTCCCTAGTCTTTTCACTTAAATTATACTGTTGGCTTTTTAAAAATTTTTTATGTGTAGTAGTGAAATCATGGATCCCAAGTTCACTGAATTTTGAAAAAATTTTTTGTGTATGATACCACCTAGGTTAGCATACAAAACATGTTCATCTCCCCAGAAAATTCTCTCCTGCCTCTTTTTAATCCATCCTACTCCCTGTCCCACCAGGCAACCATTTTCTTTTTTAAAAAAATCTTTATTGTTGAAACTATTATATATGTCCCCCTTCTAGCCCGCCCCCCATTTTCTCCCCCTACCCCAGGCCTTCACCATCCTATTGTCTTGTCACATGTCTTCATTTCTCCTGGATATATGCTTAGGGCTGGAATTGCTGGGTCAAATGGTAATATTATGCTTCCTTTTTTGAGGAACTGACAAATTTTTTTCCAAGTCGGCTGCAGCATTTTACGTTTCCAATAGCAGTGTGTGAAGAATACATTTTTGCCTATACTTGTTATTGTCTGCCATTCTTTGCTGAGAGACTCTGTGCTTGTTGAGGCATATCTTCATCACTCATTCTGCTTACAACTCTGCCTTAGCCTGCATTTCCTGCTTGTGCAGGGCCTCATGCTCAGAAGGTATTGATTAGGGCTTTTTCTGGGCTCGATCGTGCCCATAGTCCTGGGCACATGTACATGGCATTCTAGATAATCAGGAATATGCAGAACTTTTCAAAACCTTTTATGGCAATCTCATGTCCCCACCAAGAAGATGGAGTTATTAGCAAGATGGTTGTTGATGAGAGAGAAGAATCACACATGAAGCTTAGGTTTCTGGATTTAAAAAGAGAATGATTAGTATAAGAGTTAAGGACACTCGTTATAGTATTTATTCTAGCACCATAAGTATAACTAAACATTTCTACTGTTCAGAGGGCCAATCAATATTAATATATCAATAGATAAGCAATTTCTTTCTCCAGGTCTTTTACTCTAATATTTATGTCAATGCGCAAAATTTGTTAAGTGTCCAAAAAAGTAATACAATATAGGTTTATGTTGGCTGGAGCCCTGAATTATGAGACTTTAAAAAATTACATCTCCTCTCCACACACAAAAAAAGTCATTGAGAATCTTTTATGCTAGCATATATTCCAGGAAAAAGGCACTGCTAAGATTTGCAACAAATACAGTAATTCCAGTATGGATCAGTCATAGTTTTTGGCCATAGTAGACCCCATGTTGTTCACATCTAGTAGAGCAAGAAAAAAAATAAATGCTTACTTATATAGTGCCTTCATCATTTAAGAAGGGTAATACATATTACTTACTGGCCTGGACTCTAGTTTATATGTGCTTGCATTTAAGAAACTAGCCATTTTAAAGAATTAGTGTTTTTAATAGAGTTCATTTGTTATATTACAGTGAAGTCATATAGTAGTTTGTCAATTATGTACAATGATGGAGAGGAAAACATTACATGAGTAGTTTAAAATCATTTGCTTTTATAAATTATTGAGTGGTTTTTACTTAACTGACTGTATGAAGGCACCTCTTATGTGCTACTTTAAGTTTAGACCTTCTTAGACAGCCACTGCTTCTGCAATCGTTTCTACAGAGGCTTCGAACCATTGCAGCTTGACAGCATCTCTCTTGCAATGCAGGACAGCAGTTAATGTATACATTCTTCTTCTTTTGTCCTTTAGACAAGAAGCTCTGAATCACATTTCATACGGTTTGCTGAAAAGATTGAGCAATAATCACCTAGCAATATATGTTTCTTATTGTAAATTATAATACCACAGCAAGGTAGGGGTTACATGGGGACATGAACTCCATGTCCTTGATTGTTCCAGGACTTGCTCCATGCTCTTTAATAACTTTCAGTAGTTGCGTGTCTTACTAGTTAGAGTTAATTATTATGTCTATTGAGTTTAAAACTTTGTTGTAAGAGATCTTTAAAAAAATCATTAAAATTAATTAGATTGAATCATTGACTGTTGAGTATTAGGGAAAAAAATCACAGGATCTGGTTTCTTGTTATATTTTATTTCATCTAATTTAAAAGTCATCATGCTTTCTAAATGGCTTTGTGCTACCTCTAAGTTGTTGTCCTGCATGTAATAGGAAAATAAAAGGTTTAATAAACTAGTATGTTAGGTTTATTTTCCATGATGAGGTAAAGATATTTTTATTTGTGTGCATTTTACACATCACCTTACTTTCAGAATTATTTCTAACTTGTGCTTGTATTTTGTTTCTTTAGTGAAAATATTCTCTTTGGAATGGGAAATCCTCTTCTCGACATCACTGCTGTAGTGGATAAGGATTTCCTTGATAAGTAAGTATTAAACTTTTCATATGTACAATGTGAAACATATCTAAAGAGAAACTGATGAAAACTCTAGAATTGAATTTACTCTGTAACACCTTGAATTGGAGAAAAACTCAGGTAATGTAAATCTGTTTATTGCAGTTGTACTATCATTATTTATTGAGTGTTTGACCACAATTTTCCCTGGGAAAACTTGGTACATGTGTTCATTCCTATTGCTATTTTCATTTAAACTTTATTTTTTTATTCTTTGTGAGGAAGAAGTATATATGATTTATCTAATGATTTAATTTCCAATATTCAAAATTTTAAAAATTCCCAACATTTAAAAAATTAATGTTAGTGGAGCATTTCACCCCAAAACAGCAGAATATACATTCTTTTCAAGTGCACATTGAACATTTTCTAGGATAGACACATGTTAGGATACAAAACAAGTCTTAATAAATTTAAGAAGATTGAAATCTGACCAAAAGGGTATGAAATTAGAAATCAATCACAAGGCAAAAACTGAAAAACACGAAGACATGGAGACTAAATAACATGTTACTAAACAATGAATGGGATAACAATGAGATCAAGGAAGAAATCAAAAGCTACCTTGAAACATGAAAATGAGAACACAACAACCCCAAACCTCTGGGACATAGTGAAAGCAGTTTTAATAGTAAAATTCATAGCATTACAGGCCTACCTCAAGGATCAAGAAAAATCTAACAATCTAACTTTACACTTAAAGAAACTAGAAAAAGAACAACAAATTCCAAAGTGAGTAGAAAGAAGGAAATAATAAAGAATAGAGTAGAAATAAATGAAATAGAGTCCAAAGAAACAATTCAAAAGATCAATGAAACTAAGAGCTGGTTCTTTGAAAAGATAAACAAAATTGGCAAACCTTTAACCAGAGTCATCAAGAAAAATTGAGTGAGGACCCAAATAAATAAAATCAGAAATGAAAGAGAAGCAGTAAAAACTAACACCACAGAAATACAAAGGATTGTAAGAAAATAACTACAAACATCTATATGCCAACAAATTGGACAATCTGAATGAAAAGGATAAATTCCTAGAAACATACAGTCTTCCAAAACCGAATTAGGAAGAATAAAAGAATCTGAATAGACAGATTACAACTAGTGAAATTGAAGCGGTAATAAAAAAACTCCCAACAAATGAAAGGTCTTGGACTGAATGGCTTCACAGGCAAATTTTACCAAACATTCAAAGAACTAACTCCTCTCCTTCTCAAACTATTCCAGAAAATTCAAAAGGAGGGAAGACTTCTAAGCTCATTTTACAAGGCCAGCATTATCTTAATTCCAAAACCAGAAAAAGATACAACAAAGAAAAAAAATTATAGGCCAATATCCCTGATGAACACAAATTCTAAAATCTGAAACAAAATGCTAAGAAACCAGATCCAGCAATACATTAAAAAGATCATACACCATGATCAAGTGTGATTTATTCTGGGAGTGCAAGGTTGTCACAATATCTGTAAATCAGTAAACGTGATACATCACATAAACAAAATGGAGGATAAAAATCACATGATCATATCAATAGATGTAGAAAAAGTATTTGACAAAATCCAGCACCCATTTTTGATAAAAACCCTTGGCATAGTGGAAATAGAAGGAACATACAACATTCTCAATTGGCAAAAGCTAAAAGCATTTCTTTTAAGATGAGGAGCAAGACAAGGATGTCCACTCTTATTCAACTGATAAATGAATTCAGTAAAGTAACAGGTTACAAAATAAATATCCAGAAATTGGTTGTACTTTTATATACCAATAATGAACTTATCAGAAAGGGAAACTAAGAATTCTATCACACTTGAATAATAAAAACCTAGCAATAAATTTAACCAAGGATATAAAAGACCCATATTCAGAAACTTATAAGACACTGAAGAAAGAAATTGAAAAAGATACAAATAAGTGGAAGCATATACTGTGTTCACGGATAGAAAGAATTAACATCATTAAAATGTTCATACTTTCTAAAGCAATCTATAGATTCAATGCAATTCCTCTCAAAATACCAATGGCGTATTTTACAGAATTAGAACAAGTATTCCAAAATTTTATGTGGAACCACAAAAGACCTCAAATAACCACAGCAATCCTGAGAAAGAACAAAGCTGGAGGAATCACACTACCTGAAATCCAACTATACTACATGGCCATAGGAATCAAAATAGCACGGTACTTGCATAAAACAGACATATCTATATATATAAAAGGCTGAGACGGGCCTGTAGGTATGACGCACATTGACCACCAGGGGGCAGACGGTCAATGCAGGAGCTGCCGAGCGACAGCAACTTTGCACAGTGCCCTCTTGCACTCCGGGACCCCTCGGGGGATGTCGGACTGCTGGTTTTGGCCTGATACCCGCAGGCCAGGCCAAAGGACCCCATCTGCCGGAGGAACCCCGCTCACTCCGCAGATGCCCTTTGAGCCTCGGTGCCGCCCCAGGTGTGGCCGGCCTTGGAGGTACCACAGGAGGTTGGCTCCAGGGTGTGTCTGGCCCATCTTGCTCAGTCCTGCCCCACCGGCCACCTTCTAATTAATTTACTTTCAATGTGCACGAATCCGTGTACTGGGCTGCTAGTAGATTAATAAAACAGAATAGAGAATCCATAAATAAGCCTTATGGTCAATTAATATTTGACAAAGGAGACAAGAACATAAAATGGGGTAAGCCTTATGGTCAATTAATATTTGACAAAGGAGACAAGAACATAAAATGGGGTAAACATGGTCTATTCAATAAAGGATGTTGGGCCCTGACCAGTTTGGCTCAGTGGATAGAGCGTCGGCCTGCGGACTCAAGGGTCCCGGGTTCGATTCCGGTCAAGGGCATGTACCTTGGCTGCGGGCACATCCCCAGTGGGGGGCGTGCAAGAGGCAGCTGATTGATGTTTCTCATCGATATTTCTAACTCTCTATCCCTCTCCCTTCCTCTCTGTAAAAATCAATAAAAATATATTTAAAAAAATGATGTTGGAAAAATTGGACAGGTACATATAAGAAAATGAAATTAGACCATCTTCTTACACCATGCACAAGAATAAACTCAATAAACTGGATTAAAGAGTTAAATGTAAGACTCAAAACCATAAAAATCCTAGAAGAAAACATAGGCAGTAAAATCTTGGATATTTTTCCTAGTAATATTTTTTCTGATATACTTCCTCAGGCAAGGGAAAAGAAATAAAAAATGGGACTATATCATAATAAAAAGTTTTTGCACAGCAAAGAAAACTGTCAACTAAAAGAACACACTGAATAGGAGAACATCTTCACCAATGATATATATGATGGGTTCATATCTAAAAATTATAAAGAACTTATAAAACTCAACACCAAAAACCCCCAAACAATCCAATTAAGAAATGGGTAAAGGACCTGAATAGACACTTCTCCAAAGAGGACATAGAGGTGGCCAATAGACATATGAGAAGATACTCAACATCACTAATCATCAGAGAAATACAAATTAAAACCACAGTGAGATATTACCTTGCACTTGTCAGGATGGCTATTAGCAATAATTCAACAAACAAGTGTTGGGGATAACATGGTGAAAAGGAAACCTCTATGCACTGTTGGTGGGAATGTAGATTGGTGCAAACACTATAGAAAACAGTAGGAAGGTTCCTCAAAAAATTAAAAATGAAACTGCCTTATGACAGAGCAATTCAACTTATGGGTATATATCTGAAGAAATCCAAAACACTAATTCGAAAGACTATATGCACCCCTATGTTCATTGTAGCATTATTTACATTAGCTAAGGTATGGAAGTAACCCAAGCGCCCATCAATAGATGAGTGAATAAAAAAACTGCTACATATATACAATGGAATATTACTCGGCCATAAAAAAGAAGGAAATACCATTTGTGACAGCATGGATGGACTTGGAGAGCATTATACTATGTGAAATAAGTCAGAGAAAAACAAGTGCCATATGATTTCACTTATATGTGGACTGTAAAGAACAAAATAAATGAACAAAACAGAAACTGACTCATAGATACTGAGAACAGACTGATGGTTATCAGCGTGGATGGGATTTGGGGGCCTGGACGAAAAGGTGAAGGGATAAAGAAGTACAAATTGGTAGTTACCGAATAGTCACGGAGATATAAAGTATAGCACAGGAAATATAGTTAATATTGCAATAACTATGTATGGTGTCAGGTGGGTACTTGAAATATCAGGGCATCACTCTGTAAAGAATATGATTGTTTAACCATCATTCTGTACACCTGAAACTAAAACAAAATAATATTGAATGTAAACTGTAATTGAAAAATAAAAAAAGAATGAAGCCAGACAAAAAGAATACATAGGGTATGAATCTATTTATGAGACTATATGAAATTCATTTTAATCTATACAGTAATAAAACAGGTAATTGGTTTCACATGCATTGACCAGGATGTGGTGGAAGGTGGGAAGGAGAGATTGCAAAGGGACAGTTAGGGCTCTTAGGGGTGTGTTTCTTATCTTGATTTTGTGATGATTTCATGAGTATATACATGTATTAAAACTTTAAATATATACAGTATATTGTATGTCAGTTTTAACTCAAAGCTTTATAAAAAAAAAAATCAATTGAACTTGAGTTCATGGATTTGAAGTTTGCTTAGTGTGAGATATTTTTTCCAGAAGTCAACTAATTAATAGTCACTATTTTATTTTATTAAAATTACTAGAGGCCCGGTGCACGAATTCATGCACCAGTGGGGTCTCTCGGTCTGGACTGTGGGATAGGGCTGAAACCAGGTCTCTGACATCCCCCGAGGGGTCTAGGATTGCAAGAGGGCGCAGGTCAGGCTGAGGGACCCCACTGGTGCACAATCGGGGCCGGGGAGGAACACGGGAGGTTGGCCAGCCAGGGAGGGACCGTGGGAGGGCTCCAGGGTGTGTCCGGCCAGTCTCGCTCAGTCCTGATCAGCCAGACCCCAGCATCAAGCTAACCTACCGGTCG